CAAATAAACCGAGTCAAACCTCTTCTCAGAGGCTTTGGTAACTAAGACCGAGACATTTGACTGCACCTTTGCATGTGTGTCTGGTTCAACTAAATCATAGACTTCTGCATAGAGTGTGTCATCTAGTCCAGTTCTGTGCAAGAACTCAGGACCTGTAAACCAATTTGTATGGCTCGGTAGCTCTGGTGATATGGGACATGTTCCATGATCTGCTGGATTTTGGTCTGTGCTGACAAATTGGCACTGGTTTGGGTGAGTAAGCCTTCTGATCTGAGCTACTCTGTTGGAATCATGCACATAAAACCTTCTGCTTGTGTTGTGAATGTAACCTAGGACAACTCTACTGTCTGTGTAGAATTTTACTTTTTGTAAATCAATGTCCAGTTCAGTGGTCAGCAAATCCGCCATTTCTACAGCTAACACTGCAGAACAAATTTCTAGACGTGGTACAGTCAAAGAAGTACGAGGAGCCAACTTAGATTTACCCAGAAGAAAGCCAACAAGTGAATCTAGCCAGGTTCTCTACTGATCTTCTCTTTCAGGTGGTATGGGAGAACCCCAATCACACTGATCATTATTTAGTTCTCTCACTAAAGCTTTACCTTGTATTGTTACAGGGGCCAAGAAACCTAGAGGATCATACAGAATATTAACCACAGACTTCTGAGAAGGAGATTAAATTTAAGACTGCACAATGAATTCCTAGGAAAAAAGTATATATATATATATATGTTTAAATTATTAACAACTGTAAACAATCGATTGGATTTAGCATGCAAGTATAACTTGTAAACGACATTAACACTGTCTAATTGACTGTAAACAATGTTGTACTTTGTCATTTGCTGCTAATACGATTTCCCTATTTTGAATTTGCAAAGAATACTTTACTGAAATGATACTATTAAAGAGAATGTCTGAAAATCTGAATATAAAACCAACTTTACCTCAATGTCAATAGAAATGAAATACGTACCTTATTTTTATTGCTGCTATTTCTGAGATGACAATTTAAATGACTTCATAAAAGGTTGAGTAATGCATGTACTTTTATTGAAAAATAATTTTAAATTCACTAAACATTTTAATATATAAACTCTTAAAATATATAAAAATCAGTATGGCATAGAAACATCAACCCTTCAGAAAAGATGCTTCAATTCCTGAGTCATATAAAAACTTTATATTGAAGTACAAATTAAGATGTGATTGGCAAATATAAAATGTATCCTTGTGCAAATATATATGTTGAATGAAATACAATTGTCCATGAACTTTGCAGTGCAGTATATCTACAAACACATACAAACATATCAAACATACATTGGCAGTTTAATAACGAAATATGACTTCTGAAATTTTGTTAAAGCTAGTTATTTTATCAATAATAAAAATGTATGTGTGATGACTCCCAAGTTCAAATTGTAATGCAATTTCTAAAACAATGTTTCATTATTATGTCTCTGTTAGACAGTGCCGCTTTTTGGCTTATCGGAGCTTTGTGAGCTGGTGTTGGGGTTTCCTCGGGCGGAAAGTCCGTGTTGTGATTCCTGCCTGTGTGGTGCTGAAGATTCGCAGACAGTTTCCTGAAGAGCAGGGCAGCTATGTGGGTTTGAGGATAGCTATTGCTTGAAGCGGGTCACCCTGCTGGAGATAGCCTCCTCCATCTCAGGTCGATCGTAGGCTGATGATAGAGCAGGTGGTATGTGAATTTCCAACACTTCATCAACATAGGGTGATGGGTCCACAAACACTTGGTTGAAGATGAGGTCCAGCAGCTCTTCTACATAACCTGTTCAATATAACAGTTATCTCTTTAGTAACTTAATTTTGTATTTTGAATGGTGAGTTTTCATTGTGAATGTAAAGTGCAATTATTTTTTTATTTGTTGAAGTATTAATAATAATATAAACATTTATATACATATGAAAGTTTGCTGCGTCTTCACTTCTCGGACCCTATACTCTCCTTTCTTTGCCTTTGGAAAGGCAAGCTTGTAAATAGGTTTACCAGTTGCTGATGTGGGCTGGGGACGCCCGGCATTTTCATTGTAATGCAGTGCAGCCAAGTACAGCCTAACAAAAAGACAAATGTAAATGACGTACCATGACAAGACTGTATGATATTGTAAATATGAATTTCTGATCAGTGGCTTTACCTGCATAGCATCCCCAGAAATGGGAATACCACACACTGTAAACGATTTCTGTTGTTTTTACAGTATTATACTGCATTTCTCAACAGTTGTTTACTGTATAAGCTGTGCACAGTGTGTTACTGTATATATTGCTGTTTTCACAGCATGATAATGTATTCTCAACATTTCTATACTGTGAACATGATTAACAGTATGCTACTGCAGATTTTACAATGAATTTGGGAAAAAAATCAGTTACTGTGCATCTAAATACAGTACTGCAAATGACCATGAAAAACTCTACACACACTTTATATTATTATTATTATGTTTATTTTATATTTTGACAAAGTATTTTGTGAAGAAAAATAAACTAACCAGTTTCTTCAGACTGTTCAGTGCATAAAATTGTCCCCTGGTTTTCCATTTTTGGGTGTACTACACCTTAATTTTATAAGGTTAACATGAAAATATTAAATCATTTTTAATCAACATAACTTTGTGCTTAACCAAAACGTAAACTGGAACAAAAGTAATTGATTCATGAAACCAAAGTCAGCTTAAATGTCAGAATGACCAGCTTGCTTTAGACGGATTCATGAGGATTGGGCACCCGTCATCACCATGGAGGTCACATCTCCGCATTTTCAAAACAATATTTTAAAATACGCACCATCTCTATAAATAAACCACAGACTTGAGTTTAAAACAACTACATTCCCGCATGAAAAACGGTTAAAACTAAATTTCATAACACATTCATTATAGAGCCATCTAAGACCGGGGCAAGTCTCACATGCCTAGCCGATTATGACCTCATTTCGCCGGATACATGAGTGATGATGGACACCCTGGAGGTCAGAATCTCCGCTATCGGCAAAGCACGCTTAAATTTACACATGATATCTATAAATAAACCACAGATTTGAGTTTGTAAGAACTACATTCTCGCATGAAACACTGTTAAAATTTCATTTCGTGACATATTAAACGCAATATTTATAATATTAGCTGGGCTTTCTCATCCGCCATTACCATTTGCTTGTTGATGTGAAATGAATTCTGGGAGAAAAAAAAAAATTAATTCTCAAAACACTTCAAACGAACTTTATTCTTATTGTCAAGGTCAGATATATGTAATAATTTCGCTGGTAAAGTGAATAAAAAACAACGTTACTCTATTGTAATCAATATCACGTTTGCACTGGTTCGGTTCAGCACTCGAGCGACTCTGAATCGTATTGAACCGTTTGCTCGGGAATTATTTGATCACACGTGTTCACAAGCACATTCAGCAATATGCAATTAGTGTATAATTAGTGTATAAATGCGTGTGGCCAAGCAGTATAACGAAATAGTAATGAATCATATACAAAAAGGAATCAGTTTTAGGCGGATTCAAATCTTTACTGTTCACTAAGGAGCCGATTCATAGAACCGAACGGACACGACTCGACCTGCAGGCAACGGCTCTCCTAATTTGAAATTCACCTGTCGTCTTTCATCCAGCGACTTCATCCTCGGTAAGTGTTTTAAAGTCAAATTCTGTCCGTTGAAGGATTGTTTTGTATATATTTGTGTATTGAGTGTGTAATTTAAAAGAATTAACCAAGTGACATTAGTTGTAACGTTAGGTTCTTATGTTTTGTCACGCTGTCCGTTAACAAATGGTATTTTAAACAAGAAATAACAGACGCCAGGCGGTCATTGTAGTGTTTGCGAGGTATTAGATACAGTGAGTTTATCTTGAGTGAGTTTTTGACCATACGCTAAGTTACCTGAAAAAAACATAACTTTAACTTATTGTAACTGCATTAATGCATTCTCTATTTCAGCACAACACTGAGATGAAGGCGAAGTCACCATGAAAAGTTAAACGTTTACCGTTAAGGTAAGCTCTGGTCTTCACATAGTCATTATGACTAAGCTATCATTATGGTAAAATTTTTCAACTGTAAGTTAGTTATTTAAATTAAACTCACAATGAAATGAGTCTTAACTGTTTTATTAAATGGAGCTGAAAATTAAATGCAGTTGAATTATTTTAAGCTAAAGTTAATATTAACAAATTAACGTTACATATTAATTGTCTATTTCTCAATAATGTTAATGAGCTTGATGTATAGTGTGTCATTAATTGTACATTTAATTTTTGGTGTTCAGGTGTTACTGA